CAGCGGCGTGGCTCCCTTGATCGCTCACCAACCCGAAAGTGCGCCTCGTCTCCTGATCGTCGGCGGGCCAAGTCGATGGACCGCAGGGCAGAGCGAGCCCATCGGGACCATACACCTGAGAGGGAGTATGATGATGGAGGGTTCCTCGCAGTCACACCTGAACGCAAGTTCTACGAGCGGAGGCTCCTCAAGGACTCACATACACCTGGGCAAGTCAGGGAGGCCTCAACCCCCGAGCGCGCCAACAACGGGGATTCCTTGTCTCTTTCCAGGGGCCGTACATATGATAGAGCCACAAAGAACGGCAACCTCCTGAGAGACTCTTCCTCAGAGAGGAGGGAGGAGAGATATCAGATGAACGGGACACCGGAGAGACGATACCGAGTGGAGCGGGACTCTTCCCCTGACAGCAACTACAGCCGGGACGAGCTGAACTATGCAGCAGCACCCAGACTGAAGGACTACTACAGCATGATGAAGAACAACGCTGCACACAACAATGCTGCCTACAACAACACAGGCCATAACAATAACGCAGTAGGCCACAGCCCAAACCAGCTCCCTGAGCCCAAGAGAAGGCTGTACAAAGAAAGCCCCAAAGACCTCAGCATCTAGAGCAGAGCAGAGATCCCCCTCGCCACTCTCTCCTCTATCTGTGCAAACTATGTACCATACACTGGAATTGGACTTCTGAGGATACTAACTCTTGTGCTTTATGTGGTCGACTGGTTTATTGATTGATTTGATTGACTACTTGTGATCCCATCCAGAGATTCATAAAACAGCAGGAGTACAATCCTTCTATCAGTTCATACTGGTTGTTTTGTCATTGTTATAGTTATTTTGAACATAACAGAAGTTGTACTATAGTAAAGGTATTGTATGTGCCTGCATATAAAATCAGTGATATTGCTTTTTGTAGGCATTGCTGAATCTAAATATTTGTTCCCTCAGAGGTATGAAACATTCCTCCAGTTGTGGTAACTTCTAACTACTAAGCTTGTTTTCAACTTGTTTTTAGATGTCTTTTCCATTCCTGAATTGCTTCACTGAACAAACTATAGCACAAGACACTGATGGTTCATAAGAACTGTGAAAGTCACGTTGGACTTATGGCAAAAATCTAAATTTAAGATCTGATGGTAAAAGTATAGTGATAATTATATAAATAATATATGACTTTTTTGCATTTGCTCATTATTTATTTGTTAATTTGGCACATATCTTGAGCAAGCTTCATTAAATCTTTAAGGACCATGGTAGAAGTGCACACTGTACCTGGGAGAAGCATGCTGTACCCTTACTTGTGTTGCATCCTTAAAATGTGTGGCAGCTAACTCTCCTTTGCCTAACTACACCCACACACTCTGAAATTAAGAAATCAGACGGCTGATGTGATAATTGGCAATGGTGTTATTAGTTTCTCCCTTGGAGTAGAACTATAAAAATAAGTTGAGTACTCTGGCCCTTTGTTCCTCAGTGTGTATTAATGTAGAAGGTAAGGAACCTGACTCACTTTCAATTACAGGCAAAATTGTTCTGGTAGATTCTCTGTTGCGGAAAAAAATTTAATTTGTTGCTCAAAAAATGTTCAGTTTCATACTATAGAATAGTCTGCATTATGCCAGAATACCAGCTTGAAGCTGCCACAAATTTTGATTTATCAGATATGCCAAAAAAAAAAAAAGTTTAAACAAACAAATGTGTAAATTATCCCTGTGCAAGCTGCATGTGTAAATCTAAGTGTAGTTTAACCACTTTATCTGATAGGTCTGAGCGAGAATAATCGATAATGAACATGCACTGTAATCCCACAGTAATTGCTAGCCCTGTCCTCATGTTGATGATACCCACATTTGCGCACCGACCACTTCCTGGGTCCTGACACAAAAAGCTGATGTGGTTTGTTGTGTTGGTAATATATGGAGAGTCCCGGTACAGGAGACGACCAATCTGCCATGCTGAGCCATGCTGTCATGTCACTGGAGTCTGACTGCTGCTTTATAATGTGTTTTGTGTGTATTCTCTGTTTTATGTTTCATTAGAGAACTAAAAATATATTGGATAAACCAAAACAAATGCATTGTTTCATCACTGTTGTCGCCATGGTACTGTATTAACAAAAAAGAAGAAAAAAAGAAGAAGAAACACATTTAACAAGTTAACCTGTTGGCCATCACATGTAAAGAATTTTTCCAATGTAACTATTAGGAACCTGTCAAGGAATAAAATGTTGCCTTTTTCTTGTACAAAAGAGAAATCTATGAAAAACCTCAGCAGTGAGGAATGTGATATTGTGTTTATATCTCTGAAATGGACCTGATGATTTATGGGAAATATGTTGATTTACTCTGGATCAGGTATGTAAAGACGTTTTAAAATGAAAGACTGTATTTGGTCAATCAGAAACTGTTTGATGGTTTGAATCTCTCTCGATGGTTAGCCTGCCTTTGTATTATAAAGCACTTGTATGCAGTCTGTGTTCTTCAAGCATTAGTTCTTGCAATGTGCTCCGGACATAATGCTGTCTCTGTGTTGATAAAAGCAGTACATGTATATGGGCCAATCTTTTTTATAAAACTATGCATATATAAATACTACATTGTTCATAGCTTTATTTGACCCATGAAGCTATACATAACATTAGTCTAAGTACAAGTAGATGTGGACTTATCCAGCTTCTTTCCTTGAGATGGATTACAATGTATATGTAGCTATCAAAAGAAGTCTGTGAATGCTATTTTTATTATCAAATAAAGTTTTCCATACAAATTCAAAAGGATTTCATATTTCTGCACAGCTGTTTTTCAGTAATGTCTCTGGAGAGGCTTTGGAGTTTGTATTCTTTTTGATCAAACCTCTCTGGTGTGTCAGTCCTGGTCACACTATGTTTTATTATGCAGCTTCAGAGGCTCTGTTTCATGGAAGATTGACACTATAAACACTAAAATTTACTACATTTAACTGTGACTGTACACTGGTTCACACACTTAAAAAATCTACATGGTAACATGGAAATAGAAGTCAGTATTATGGACTGTCAACTGTACTGCATTCCTCGTCTTCTGAGAAAGGCATTTCATTCTATTTGTGTAACATATAATGGTGCAGTACACAGAATGGAGTGAGGTAGTAAAAGCAATACTGTCAATCTCCATACTCTCCAACAAAAACACAATTCCTGCTTTTTTAATTGTTAGAAAGTTAGAAGCAGTGCTGCCATTACACTAATCATACCACTAATATACTTTGTCATCTCAAATATAATAATGTTATAGTAAAAATTTACAAATAAACACAAATTGACACTTTATTGAACTGGGTCTAATTTATACTAGATTCTTCTAAACTTTAAGATTATAATTGGTATTAAATATTTATTTACAAAAAGCTAAATAGTATCTTGTCTGTGTAAACAAAAAATCCTAGGAGTTCCATCTAATCCAATATTCATCATATCGTTCATATTCACAGAGTATGCTTGTGCAGCCATAGCAAGAGAAGCTTTTCTTTTTTAGTGCTAAATTAAAGCAGTGGGTAATTGTTTTTGTTTTTCCTTAAACTCTCAGCTGGCATTTGACTTCAGTCTGCTAGGTGATTTGTAAATGATCCACTAGTATGATGGTTGCTATAGCTACGCATGAAGGTGGGATGGGAGAGATCTTGAGGTGTTTTTGTGGTATACTGCACAACCAACAACTGAGGAGGAGGAATTCACGTCATCAAGTGAGTTTCGGTCATTGATCATGCTGGTACAACTCATTGTAACGTCTTTCAGAGAGCCCAGCCTTTGAGAACACAAAAACAATAAAGCTATAAACCTTGTAGATCTCAAGTGGGTTTATACTCATTAACTACCCCAACTAATCTGCGATATCCAGTGTTAGGAGTAGGTAGTAGTCACTGTATTACTAAATTATTATTACTGAATAAGAAGAAGAAGAAAGAAGAAGATATACTTTATTAATCCCAAATGGGAAAAAATCTAACATAATAAAAGAAAACCTTTGCTTTAAATGTTGTTTTCTATATTATGAGGCCTGAAAAGAGATTCAAAACCTTTTGAGAAATGCTGTGCAGTTTTCCCAGTGATTCTTCCAATAACCGATTCTTCTTTCTAGCAATATAAGAAATATACAAAGATTTAATTATTAATGGTTTGTGTGTAATATGATGGAAGTAAGGAACACAAGTGAAGAGAAATTGTTTCCATTCCATAACCTTTGCATCAAGGTGTCTCTTGGTAATACAGATTTGTGTTATCCAATAAGTCTTTGTCTGTGTTAACCTTTAATTAATATGATTAATATTCGTCATCAGATAAAGTTGGTGTTGTGTCATGTGTATATTCATCCCTGATTAATAATGTCATAATCCCTGAGGTAGTTCTAAGTCCAAGGTGACCTGTGATAGAGGTGAGATTACAGTAGCAATACAGATGCCTCTACAATAGAAATCCAAACACTATTCTAAGTATCTGTACCATCAAGTTCTTAGCAGAAGAGCAGTAGTCACTAAAATAATAGCTCTAAAGTAGAAATTGACTCAAGACATAAATGCATTCTGAATAGGTCAGTCACATTTATTCAGTTGATTAAATATACTACAGTCATGAACTTTGCCACCCAAATTGCAAGTAAAACATAAACAGGATGAGTCATTTGCAAAGTGCGTTTTATTTTACGTTGCCTTGATTACATGCCTCTACATTCAAAAATAAGCCAGTATCATATAGGATCCAACTGTAAAAGATTAACATTTTTTCCCTTTCCTCTGAGGAAAAAAAAATCTCATAGATAGTTAAGTTGGATATTCTGTACATACAGGAAAAACTCTGTAATGGGCTGACCTTCCCTGCAACTGTCTTTAGGTTGAACCAACTCGTTTGTAAAAATACAAAAAGGAAGTTATTTCTGTAGACATTAGCCTTCAGTCGTTTCCCGGGGGGAGCAGAAGTCTTCTTCTTGGATAGTGGATCATGGAGCCTGTTGACGGCCCTTTTATGCAGGAGACACAGAGCTGGAGGAGACAGAGGAGGCCTCGGTCTTGGAGGCAGTAGATGCTCCCTCCTCTTCCTCGAAGGGATTCTTTCCGCAGCACAAGGTGGTGATCATGCAGTGGCGGAACTGCTTGTTCAAGCAGATGTAGATCAATGGGTTGTAGACGGAGGAGGTCTTGGCAAAGAAAGCCGGGAGGGTCATGAAGACTGGTCCGAACTCTGAGCCCTGATGTGTGAAGATATACCAAGCCACACTGGCATAAGGAACCCAACATATCAGGAAGGCGATACCCATGATAATAACCATGCGGGTGACTTCCTTCTCAGCCCTCTGAGTGGTCTCAGACTCCTGCTGGGCAGCAGCAGCCTCCTTGACAGCACAGAGCAGACGACCATAGCAGAAGAACACGACACACATTGGAATGATAAAGTGGCAGATGAACATGTAGATAACAAAGGACTCATTGTTGAAACCCTCTGCACGTGTGTAGTAGTCGACTCCACATGAGCACTGCATTCCCTCAGGGATGTAACGAGACCAGCCGAGAAGAGGGGGCGCGGCACAAGAAAGGGCCATTACCCAGGTGAAGACCAAACCCATGATTGCGTGATTCTCCCCGAAACGGAAGTTGCTGATGGGCTTGCAGACAACCAGCCACCTTTCAACAGCCAGAGTAACCAGTGACCAGAGCCCAATCTCACCGCCGAGGGTAGCAAAGAATCCTTCCAGATTGCAGCCAAGGCGTCCAAGGACGAAGTAGCCGTGCATTGAGGTGTACATCGTTGTGGTGAATCCTCCAAACACCATGAAGAGGTCAGCCACCGCAAGGTTCAGCAAGATGTAGTTTAGAGGGGTCCGCAGCTTCTTGTGTTCGATGGTGACGTACAGAGTGAGAAAGTTGATGGGGAAGCCAAGAAGGATGAGCAGGAACATGTAGGCACCCAGGGCAGCATAGGCTGCTGGGCTGACAAGGTAGTACTGAGGATAATCATAAGGACTCCGGACAATGCCGGTGGTGTTAACCATAGGGACATAGAAATATGGTCCCTCCGTGCCGTTCATGGTTGCGGCTTGAGGTTGCGATCAGCCCTTCTGTGGTGTTTCTTCTGGCTGTTCCGGAGAGTGATGGAAAGGGACCTTGCAACAAATGGACCCAGGTCTGGCTTTTAAAGGCACACCTTGGATTATCACTTTCCAAATCCGTCAGCACAAAGTGATTTAGGCCACAGTTAATATCTAATCCAGCCACCACTGCAAACATAACTGACCACTCATCAAGATATTAAGGTTACACCTGCTCATGCCTTTCATGGAGCTATCCAGTAACTTCTTATTTTAAAGTATGAATACAACATGGTACCTCATAAAAAAAAAAAATTTAGTAACTATTTTCACCATTGAGATTGACAGTGTTTCTGTGCACAGTTTAAATGTCTCCCCATATTTCTGACATTCTTCCAGGTGCTCCCAACTCCTTAAGCAAAAATATGCAGATAGGATTGTAGCCACTGATTTGCTCCTATATAAATGTGAATTTAAGTGTCAATCTGTTTTAGTTGCTCCAAACCCCCCGACCCTAAATAGAGCTAAGCTGGTAAATGTGATGAATTAACATAAATTAATTTCAGGAATTGTAACCCCAAAACCTTAACCTAATTTAACCTATGGGTGTACAGTATATTTTAACATTCAGTTATAACTATAAAATCAAGTGTAATATTTATTCTAAAAAGAAATTGATCTCAAAGTCATGTGGTTTCAGTCTAATTCTGACAACATTTTATGAACTATCTGAAAGTAAGTGTGTATTTTAGATCACTTTAGTGAGTATGGTCACACAAGAAGTACAAGAAGCCAAAATTATTCATATATACTGAACTATAGTTTAACATTCTGACAAACAAACAATATGACGGAATCATCCTATGAGACAAATTGCTCACAGTAAGGCTGCAACTACAATAATTATTTCAATTTTTATTAATCTGCCAATTGCTTTCTTGATGAATTGGTTAATCCCTCAGTTTTAGTATAAAAAATTAGCTTTTTATGTCCAAACAATATAACATTCAATTCACTGTCATATACAACAACAAAAATCAGCAAATCTTCTAACCACGATCAAATGTTTGGCATTTTCACTTGGAAATTCACTGAATCAATTAATCTATTATTAAAATTATTTGCTGATTAATTCTCTTAAACTGAAGAATGACTCCTGGATTTATGGAGTAACACCATAATCCTTCTATGATTATTCCTAAAAGATGTCGCAATTCATAGTAGGACATAGAGAGAATATACATAAATTAAAATCATTGTAGCCACTACTGCAATATAGACCTTGTTTAACTGTGACAATACTTAACTGATTAAAAATCTCTTGCACATGAGTTTTCTGACAATAGCAGAAGATAACCCTACACATTTCTTAAAATATATCTTAATCTCCTGTATCAATGTGTGGTAAGTGGGTGATTCTCTGTACTTCATTGAATGTAGAGCAGAAGCAGTGGTGTTGCTGAGTGGTGGACCATCTTAGCTGTTGGTAAAGAGCTCAGCACTTTCCTAATGGGTGTTGTATTAAAGAGATTTGAGGCTTATGGATGTTACTCTCACAGGCCTGTAATGGACTTAATGTCGTGGAGGGTCATTCTCGCTCAGTAGGATGTTGCTGTCCTCAGATGCGATACCTTATTTTTCTGTTTTTTATTCCAAATGTTGTTTATGACTGGGTGAAATGTCAAAATATTGAAACTGTATGAACTTTGCAAACCATTAATTAGTTACAGCAGGGTTTTTTTAAAGTCTGAGACTGTGAGCCCTTAGATAAAGCCTGGAAAAAGACCTGATGAACCTGGATAAATGGGATAAATTGAAGCTTACTCCATGGGGGAACATTTATGTGATTAAAGTGGTGTGTGGTATGTTTCCATCATACTGCCTGTTATCACCGAAGTTGTTCAAGCTATTTGATAGACTTGAAGAGACCAGAGATCAATACAAAGAAAATGTGGTCACCAAGGGACATTTATATAGATAACAGAAATTATCTACTTTTCATATAGAGCAGGTCTAGGCCATACTACTTATAAAATTATATGGTATGGCTATGCAATCTATCGTTTTAAATGTCTTGATTGATAAAACACTGGAAGGGAAACAGACCCAGAGCTGACCTGGATAAAAATCCAACAGGAGTAAGTCCAGCTAGTAAGTCCTTTTAAACCTTTGGATGTTCTTCACATGGTTGAACTACTAATAGACATGATTACTTTGAATACTTTCAAACTTTTAACAGGCTACAAAGAGATATCTGTAAAAATCTAAGGGTCATTTGGCAGAAGAACCTAGGGAATGATCTGAACAATGTGGAATGATTAAACATACTATCAAATACTGGGAAATAAATATAGGCTAGGGGGAAATTTACTTTACTATAAAGCTCCACAGGATGGGCTTACTGATCAATAATTTATGCCGGAAACAAGCACAGGAACTTTTCTTTTTACATACAATTTAGAAGTGTAAACTTGTTCCTGTATCCCATTGGGAGACCAAACAGAATTGCCAGTTATTAGTTATAGTTATTAGCTATAGCCTTAGTCTTACATCATATATAAAAGTCTAAAACAAACTTAAACAAAACTGAGGCTGGCCCACAGAGAGATTCATGGTTTTTTGTTTGTTTTGTTTTGTTTTGTTTTCGACACAAAAGTCTGGTAATAAGTGTATAAATAAATTATACTGCACAGACATACCAGTGTTACAGTAAAGTACCTCACTATTGAGCGATATTCTACTAAAGTTCAACTAAAGCCATCAAAGTGCAAAAAAATGCATGAACAAAACCGACTGCAGCCAGAAGGAGAGACCTGGGAGCTACAATCTCTGCACCAGATATTCAAATGCTGTAAAGGATTTACAGATCCAGGAGATCAGCACAGACCTGTTGCTGAGCTGCTTAATCGCTCTACCCTGTTGTGGCTTATCTGTAGGTGTTTTGCTGCCCTCCTCAGGAAGCCAGAATAAGTACACCTAAACACAAATCCAAGGGTCTATTTTCATTGCTACCAGACAACCATGAACTAAAAGTCTTTAACCAACCACAGTTTTTTTTTTTAATAGAAACTGTTTTCTCCTTTCAACATTGCAGGCTACAGCTTTAATTTTGATAGAATTTTGAAGTTTATTCCTTCTGTCAGTAAAGAAATAAAGATAGTTGGAAAGTAACATTTACTTAAGTACTCTTCTTCGGTATATTTTTGGAGGTACTTGTGCTATATTTAAGTATTTCCATCTTTTACTACAGCTGTAATTACTTATTTTTTTACATTTAAAAAATATGATAACATTTTTAGAGATTAACAAAGTGGCTCCCATCATTTTTGGCTATGGGACCCCCCAAAAAAGCAGTGTCTGGCTGTGGCCACTTGTCATGTTTCAGATGTCTTTGAGTGCTTTGAGGTGTGACCACAAAATGATTTCCACTCTAAACTTCTCAGATGGTTTCATTTAAATAACAGATTTGTACAGAAGATGTTTGTCTTTTCTTCCTTTGCATCCCTTTAAGCATCTCCTGTATCTTGTGAGTCTTTGAAAGGGCCTGGCCCCTAGGTTGATAAAACTAAACTACCTAACTGTACATAATAGCAGCTAGCTCAACCTTGATAAACTACTACAGTAAAATCCTGCATACACTTTGAGGCATCAGTATCACATATAATGACATATCAGTCCCAGTGGTCATTTTCCTGGAGAATGAGTACTTTGTTCTTTTAATACTTTAAGTACATTTAGCTGATAATACTTATGTACTTCTCCTTAAGACTTTGAATGCAGGACTTGTAATGGAGTATCCCAGTAGTACATTGCTGTAAGGATAAGGATCTAAATGCCTCTTCCAGCACTGGAAATCAAGTCTTTCTTCTTAATTATGTCCATGTTATGATGTAAATGTATTTCGAGATCTTTGAACCTCTAAACTGTAACCTCCCTAAAAGCTCTCTCAACTCTCTTTTTTTTCTTCAGGTAAATGGAACGAACTGTGAACCACCTAAATATCACACAAAAAATAAAGGTGTTTGTGCACAAAAAAAGTTTTGTTTGACTCTATTGCTATGTTGCAAAGATGTATGTAAATAATGATGTTGGCCATGGTTTTGTTGTTTGTTGAACTGGCTGATTTCCACTGAAATCCCTTTCTACGATGCTAAACTGAAAATGGACTGTAGTATCCACCTTGAGTTTATAGATGCCTCAGACAAGGCCCTCTCTAATGAATAATACACCAAGATTCAGCCTTATCCTCATGAATAGTGCATGCCTTTCTTTTCTCCAAAGAGAAACACATATAAGCACAGGAGAAGTATTGTTACTGGCTGGTGGTGTTTTAATGTGTAGACATGGTCTGGAGGAAGCACTGTTGGAAATATCAACACCAAACGAGCATACTCCTGTCCTGACATGAGATTTTATATAGAAAACAACTAGTAAGTTACTGTATCGTCACTAAACATTATCTAACACTGACTATATTTAGACACAGTAATGAGTCACAACATTAATATTAAATGTATTTTACAAATAAAACTTTGACTACGTTCAAACCACCACAACCTCACTGCCTGACTTCAGCTTTTTTGTTTTGCATATGAAGATGACTGTGGTTTTTAGAGGACAAATGTGTGGGCCGAGTGTGATGCTCTCTCACTCTGCCCACAGGAACTCTCTTGCTGAGTGACCGGTAGAGAGGAGGGAACACTGTGACCAGGACATGGCACATTCCACACCACCAGCTCCCACATACATTTCACACAGAGGGTTATACATCATCAGGCCCGTAACAAGCAAAAATAACATCAGCTGGTGTCGAGGATGTCAAGATTCATTTTGAGTTTCACTGTCCAAACAATAAAAAAAATGGCGCTTAAAATAATCTTTGATGCTATTTGGTTTTGGACTGCAACTAAAGATCATTTTCATTATTGATGTGTGTGTTGGAGAGCTGCAACAAGTTGATTAGTCAATCTAAAGGAGATTATTACATACAACCTGTTAAG